ATGTGAAGATGCTGGCCACAGACACTATACTGGCCAGTGCTTGGTTCTTCAGTGGTAATCTCACCAAGGTGCCCACCATGGCCCTGACAGTGGGCATGGGCACTGACTGTCATGGGTGCTAGAGAGGTGGTGATCCTCATCACAGAGGCTCACAAGGTGTTTGCTCTGCACAAGGCCATCGAAGAGGGAGTGAATTATATGTGGACCGTGTTTGTCTTCCTACAGCATCCCCACATCGTGCTCATGTGTAATGAGGATGCCACCCTGGAGTTGAAAGTGAAGATTGTCAAGTATTTCAGAGATTTAAAGCTTGTTCATACCAAGTTGATGACCCCTGTGCAATATCAAAGAGAAAGAAATAGAGAAAAGCCAGCCCCTTAAGAAGCCATACACTGATTAGCTGATGCTACTTGTAGTCTCAAGGACCTCACTGGGACAGGTGGGTCTCTCTGAAGATTGTCTTTAGGAAGACAGAATTCTTTTTCTTTAATCTAGTATGGTTACTAGCTAAATGGGTGAACTCGTTCTTGGTGGTACCGTGTGGAGTCCAGTCATGGAATTCAGCTAATTTATAATTTAATAAAAAAAATCACTACATAATTTTGATGTTTGCCCCACAGATTCGGGGTGTTTTTTATTGTTCCTCTAACACTGTTCATGTGTACAGTATACTCCCATCAGGAATTTCTATCATTATATGCAGTGATTCTCAATTGAAAGGGAGTTCGGGGCTTATGTGTATTGGACAAAACCTCTTTGGAAAGTCTTAAGAGCTTGTCTTGGGTAGCCCTGCCCCTTGTTTTAGAATCATTGTTCCCGATTAAGGAACAAACTCAATGTCTAAAATCAGTGTAAGGCAGCAGTCCCTTTAGTCAGTAACATGTGCCATGGGAAGAAAACTCTCCCTCACTGTTTTTCCCCAGGAAAACTTTGCCCAGCTGTTTTTTTCTGCTCTCTCAGTTGGCCTTTCCATGGACTCAGAGGCCTCCTTGAGAGAGGATTCGGGTGGGTGGGACTAAAGAGAAGGCTTTTGCCTATGAACTCAGTGCCTCAAGGGGCCCAGCCCGATCAGAGTCCTATCCCTCGGGGATGTTCCAGCACCAGGAGAAAGGCAGAGACCCTGTGTTTTGTTCCAAGGTCTCACTGTAGCGCCTCTCTTATATACACTCATTCGTAGGTAGGAAGTTCATGGGGGCAACAGATACAACCAATATTCAGTGTTATGTGGAGCCAGGGGTATGGGGTCAGGGGAAATAGCTTAATTATGAGTTTAGAAACAATACCAGAGAGACGTGTTTTCTGTGTCCCTAAGAGTTGAGTGCCAAGAGATATATCAAGTGCTTCTACAGTTGTCTTAATATCCTTTCTCCACTTAAAATGTTCTGCCCTTCTAACCTCCCAGGTCTGTGTGGTGTGGTCTGATGTTCCCAGAACATCAGGAAGTACACTTTTGCCCCATTACCCTTCACTCCTTGTTCACAGGATGAGTCTATCGCTCTGCCTTCCATTCCCTTTTACGCCTTGATGATCTGGAAGCTGCCTCCTCCTCCTCCCAGTGTTTGTACCTGTTTGAAGTCACTCCTGCCTCTATTTCTAGAAAGGTCGTTCAGAGCCTGGCTCAGGCCTGTCTTTAACTGCTGTGTTTGGTACCAGCATTTCATTTTTAGCTTTTATATGTGATTGTGCTATCGTTCTGTTTTTTTAAAATTTTTTGTTTCATTTTTTAAGTTTATTGTTATAGATTTATTTATTTTTGGCTGCACTGGGTCTTCGTTGATGCATGTGGGCCTTCTCTAGTTGAGTCGAGTGGGGGCTGTTCTCTAGTTGGAGTATGCGGGCTTCTCACTGCGGGGGGCTTCTAATTGCAGTGGCTTCTGTGGTGGAGCACAGGCTCTAGGGCATTCAGGCTTCAGGAGTTGCAGCTCTCAGGCTCTAGAGCACAGGCTCAGTAGTTGTGGCGCATGGGCTTAGTTGCCCTGCAGTATGTTGAGTCGTCTTCAACCAAGAATCAAACTCATGTCCCCTGCATTGGCAGATGGATTCTTAACCACTGGACCACCAGGGAAGTTCTGTCATTGTGTTTTAACCTAATGAATCAGTGGACTTGTTTTACAGTGTGATATTTTCTATTAAATCTAGTACTTTCAAGGAAAAAATACAGAAAGATTTAAAAGGTTTTTGATTTATTTCTTTGTTGAATTTGTTTTAGATACGGGCATTTGGAATAAATTTAGTGAGTCTAATGTTTGCAAAGTTAAAATTAGACACTATTTAATATGTAATATTATGATGCAAGTTGGCTAAAACACGAGATATTCATTACATAATGGAGTACCCACAGGCTCCCTTACTTCATTTGGGTCTCTGCTCAAGTGTCAGCTGATAGCACTTCCCAGCCTTTCCTATACTGTTACTTAGCATGTTTTCTTTTTCTTCCCAGGATGTATAATCTATTCATGTATTATCTGAATCCACAACTAGTGAATGAAGCACCATGTAGGTGGAACATTTTTTCTTTAGTTTTCCCAGAGTATTGAATGATTCATTGAAGGAAGTATGGGTTCGACATTTGCTCAATTAGTGAACTGAAGAAAGAAGCTTAGTGATGCTTTCTCTGTTGTTTTTTTGGTGGTTTTCTTGGCCTCTTGGCATGTGGGATGTTAGTTCCCCAAACCAGGGGTTGAACCCACACCCCCCACACCCCCCACTGCAGTGGAAACACAGAGTTTTAACCACTAGCCCACCAGGGAAGTCCCCAGGTTGCTTTTTATAATAATTATGTCTCACATGTACTAAGCATGTACATACTGCAATGAACAAGGGGGCATATTTGTTGTTGTTGTTCAGTCACTAAGTCACGTCCAACTCTTTGTGACTGCAGCCACGAAATTAAAAGACACTTACTCCTTGGAAGAAAAGCTATGATAAACCTAGACAGCATGTTAAAAAAACAGAGACATTACTTTGCCAACTAAGGTCCACATAGTCAAAGCTATGGTTTTTCCAATAGTCATGTATGGATATGAGAGTTGGACCATAAGGAAGGCTGAAAGCAAGAATTGTTGCTTTTGAACTGTGGTGTTGGAGAAGACTCTTGAGAGTCCCCTCGACTGCAAGGAGATCAAACCAGTCAATCCTAAAGGAAATCAGTCCTGAATATTCATTAGAAGGACTGATGCTAAAGCTGAAGCTCCAATACTTTGGCTACCTGATGCAAAGAGCTGACTCATTAGAAAAGACCCTGATGCTGGGCAAGATTGAAGGCAGGAGAAGAAGGGGACAACAGAGGACAAGACAGTTGGATGGCATCACTGACTCAATGGACTTGAGCTTGAACAAGCTCCAGGAGATGGTGAAGGACAGTGAAGCCTCGCATGCTGCAGCCCATGGGGTCACACAGAGTCAAACACGACCGAGTAACTGAACAATGTACTAAGTGAGTGACAAAATGTACTAAGCATTTTCTATGTGCCACACCAAATTCCCATAAAACCCTATAACAAAACTGTTTACAGAGGAGGAAATTAAAGCTCAGAGATTTTAAGTAACTTGCCCAAGGTCACAAGATTCAAACCCAAGCACTCTGGTTCTATAGTCCATTTTTTTCAGTGAAATCAGGGGGTTTTGTGTGGTAAAATATGTGTAACATAAAACTGCTCATTTAATCATTTTAAGTATACAGTTTACTGGCATTAACATTCATGTTGTTGTGCAACCAATCTCCAGAACTTGTTCATCTTCCAAAACTGTAACTTTATACCCATTAAACAACAGCTCCCTTTTCCCTGTCCCTCCCTGCCCCTAGCAACCACCATTCTACTTTCTGTTTCTCTTATTTTGACTACTTTCTGATTGGCCTATTTCACTTAGCATAATATCCTCTGGGCTCATGCATGTTGTAGCATGTGTCAGAATTTCCTTCTTTTTAAAGATGAGTAAATATGCCATTATATGTATTGACCACATTTTGTTTATCCATTCGCCCTTGGATGGACTGCAGCCCAATTCTAATCTGTTAACTTTTCAAAACTGTGTCTTTTGATATTAATCTTGAGGTGACAGATTATGGGAAGTGCCAACTGTTTTTCTTAAACTTCTCTCTTTTTTCTGTGGGAAACATTCTTACTTCTTCTTTCTGTTTTGGAATAGATCTCACCCCCATCACAGACACAGGAAATTCAACTTGTTGAAAACTTTCCATCCAAAAAGTTGCTCACAAAAAAAAAGAAAAAGTTGCTCACAACAAATATTTGGATGGACAGGGGTTGTTAAGTGGTCCAGTAACAATCTTATCCCTTCACTCCAATCCTTCACTTCCAAACCCTCTCTCCCAGTTGCCTCTTGGGAGCCCTAGATTCCTTGCCTTTATTACATGTTCTCTAAATTTCCTACCTTACCATCAGCTTTCACCAACATCCTGAAAATTGAGTCAGGTTGGCACTGAAAAGGGTCTTTTTCTCCAAGGAACCCTGCTCTCCTGCTCAGCATGCAGTGCCAGCTTATTCCCAGATACTCAGAGCACACTAGATGGGAGAATGTTCAGTTCCCTAAAGCTGCCTTACATGTAAATTATACTTCTCATTAGTAGGGATAATTGACTTGACGTTTCCTCAATCTTTTGAAAATATGTGAATAAGAGAATCTTACTGTTTTGTTTTTGGTTGTGTTTGTTTATTTTGGCTTCAGCATGTGGGATCTTAGTTCCCTGACCAAGAATCGAACCCACATTCCCTGCATTGGAAGTGGGGAGTCTTAGCCACTGGACCACCAGGGAAGTCCCCCAAATAAGAGTATCTTAAACATTACTGTGTATATTGGCATACTCTAGCTCACAATATAGGAAAATACAATACAGTAAGTCCCCTACAAATGAACAAGTTCCATCCCAAGAGTGCGTTCGTAAGTCCAATTTGTTCATAAGTCCAACAAAGTTAGCCTAGATACCCAACTAACATAATTGACTATACAGTACTATACTGTAAATAGGTTTATAATACTTTTCACACAAATAATACATAAAAAACAAAGACCAAAAATAAAACATTTTTAATCTTACAGTACAGTACCTTAAAAGTACAGTAGTACAGTACAACCCCTGGCATAGAGGCACTGGCATCGAGTGAACAGGCGAGAGTTACTGCTTGGAGGAGCGAGAGGGTGGGAGATGGTAGAGCTGAAGGATCATCCGCAAAAAGAGGAGGGCAAGCTGTAATTTCACTCATGCCTGACGTTGATGGCACAGGTTCTGGTTCCTTGCTAGATTCAACTCTATCTACCCACTTGACATGAGTTTGAGTAAGCTCCGGGAGTTGGTGATGGACAGGGAAGCATGGAGAGCTGCAGGCCATGGGGTCACAAAGAGTCGGACACGACTGAGCGACTGAACTGGACTGAACCCACTTGAAAAAATGGTCCAGTGATGACTGGGTAGTAGCTCTTTTTTTCTCATTGTAGATGACATGGTAGCACTGGATTGCATTCTGAACGGCTGCTGCATCCTTTATGCACTGTTCTACATTCGGCTCCTGTGCCTCAGAAACTAACAGTGCCTCCTCAAATAAGGAAAATCCCCTCACCATTTCCTGTGTCATAAATCTCTTCCATTCTTCAGTTACTACTTCTTCCTCTTGTCTCTAATCGTCCTTCCTCTGGGCCTCCAATTCCATCAGGCCTTCATTAGTAAGCTCCTCGTGTTGCACAGAAAGTTCCATTGTTTTCACTTGGTGCTTCTTAGCAATACCAGCTACATCACCACTCCTTTTCGCTTGCTTACAGACATCCTGGGCTTGAAATGAAAATACTGTACTACTGTACTCTATACAGTACTGTAAAGTGCACAAAAGCATAACCACTTATAGAGGATGCACACAGGTGACTGTGGACACCAGACACATGAACTAACTTCCATGTTTGGACATGCAAATGCACATTTGAGTCTTTTTTTCTTTAAGATTTTTTGATGTGGACTATTTTTTTAAAGTCTTTATTGAATCTGCTATAATAGTGCTTCTGTTTTAATTTGTTTTTTTTTTTCACCACGAAGCATGTTGGATTTTAGCTCCCTGAGTAGGGATCGAACCCAAACCCCCCGCATTGGAAGATGAAGTCTTAACCACTGGACTGCCAGAGACATTCCAGGTTTACATCTTTGAAAGTTTGCAATTTGAAGGTTTATATGTAGGGGACTTATTATATATTTGTTTTTCAAATGCAACTCTAAAGATAACCATCCAGTCCCACCCAGCTTATCGGCTCTAAAGTGAAAAGTGAAAGAAAAGTGAAAGTGTTAGTTGCTTAGTTGTGTCTGACTCTTTGAAACCCCATGGACTCTAGCCCACCAGGCTCCTCTGTCCGTGGAATTCTCCAGGCAAGAATATTGGAATAGGTAGCCATTCCCTTCTATAGGGAATCTTCCCGATCCAAGGATTGAACCCAGGTTTCCTGCATTGCAGGCGGATTCTTTACCACCTGAGCCACCAGGGAGGCCCCACTTCACCTTAATAAAAATTCTGAAACTATTTTCCTTGTCAGTCACAGTATTTATAACAACTCCCAAACACGAAAATGCCTTTAGACCTTCTTGAGATAAAGGTCATGTTTTTAGATGAGAAGGATTACTATGTAACAGATATTTAACTTTGAGGAAAGAATATTTTTAAAAAGATCAAAGCCTTCCTTAACATTTAAATTAATATGTACTTTGTTAATATGATAAATATATTTATTATCATATATTATCATATGATAATGTAAGAAATGATAAATATGATAAATGATCGCACACTTAGAGTGGAGAAATAGACAAGTATGTATGAGACTTTATTTTGCATGCTATGCAATAGCACAAGGGTTCTTGGTTGTTAACCAACTCCATAGTTGTCAGAAATCTGGGGCCCAAACATTGGGAACCATTAAGCCAAAAAGTCCGACCTCAGGACATCATCTCCAGCAGTGGTTGTCACATAGTACAAGCATGTTGGAGGTGTGTATCAAGTCTGCTAGAGCTGCCATGACAATATACCATGGACTGGGTGGCTTAAACAACAAATTCATTTTCTCAACAGTTCTGGAGGCTGGAAAACCAAAATCAAGGTGCTAGCACAGTTAGTGTTACTGAATCAGGTCCATTTGCCCAATGTGCAGCAAGCCAAATACCGAAATGCCAAGGTTTACAGTCAAAGAAAGTTTATACACAAGACAGCCAAGTGAAGAGATAGGAGAACAAGTCTCAGATCTGCCTCCCTGAAGGCAGAAGGATTGGAGTGCTTGTGGGATAAGTAGGATGGTCTAAAAACTGAGCAGGACACTGCCGAGCCCTCCTAAGTACAAAAGCTCTTCCATGTTCCTCCATTTCTCATTTGTAGGAAAAAGGTTTCAGCCTTCTAGATCTTCCCTGAGTTCCAAAGGGCAGATTCAAGCAATTATCTATTAGAGAAATGAGGGAATGAAGAGACAAATAAAAAGCAGTTAAATAGAAAAGTAAGGACAAGAGTGCAGCAATAAGAGAGTCCCAGGTCTTCCTCAAGAGATATACATAACAATCCAATACATATCTTGAGTTGTTTTTACAGGAACTAAGTCTCCCCACCCAGGTGGAGGGTGGTGACTTCATGGGGAGCACAAGATTCCTGGAACATAACCCATTACCTCACCATCCCCCTATCAGAAGAAAGCTGTGCACTCTGCTGCCCTCACCCAAAATTTGCCTTTAGAAACTCTTCCCTGAAACCCCTCATCAGAGTTTGGGTCTTTTGAGCATGAGCTGCCCATACCCCACATTTGGCACCTGCAATAAAAGCTGTACTTTTCATCACTATGAAAGTGAAAAGTGAAAGTGAAAGTCACTCAGTTATGTCCAACTCTTTGCGACCCCATGGACTATACAGTCCATGGAATTCTCCAGGCCAGAATATTGGAGTGGGTAGCTGTTCCTTTCTCCAGGGGATCTTCCCAACCCAGGGATCGAACCCAGGTCTCCTGCATTGCAGGCGGATTCTTTACCAGCTGAGCCACCAGGGAAGCCCTTTCATCACTACAACCAGGTGTTAATAAATTGGTTTTGCTGCACAGAAGGTAAGTGGACCCAAGTTCAGTTTGGTAACAGTCTTAGTTGTGGGATAGAAGTAGCTGGAGGTAGGGGAAAAGGTGACATAATAAATGTTCTGCACAGGTGCTTCTGGGTTACATACAAAGACTTTATTAGGATATTAAGAATTGCAGTTTGGGAGACAGATTTAGGTGAAAACCAAGAGTGCTCAGGAGAAGAAAATGAATCAGAGGCTTACAAGACAAATACCACAGGTTGTTAGAGTTTTGTGTTTGGGTGAGAACTGTCATTGACTCTGACATAAAGAAGCATTTGTTATTAAGGAATAGGCTGTCACTAGTTATTTTGGGGTAAGGTCAATAAGTATCTCGAATTTCTGGCAGATGTTCTGGATGCCTGTGTTAAGACAAAAGTGGTCGAAAGTTCAGTGTCCCTCCAGGCTGAGATATGCACAAGCTCTGTTTCCTCAATGGTCTTTCAGCGCCATCTTAGTGACTTCTCTTAGCACTAACTACTCCATTTTTACTTTTCCCCCTTTTGATCAAGATCTTTCATTGGGAGGCATCAATGATCAACCATCTGGTTATTTAGCATCAGCATCAACTTCCTCTGTGCTGGGAAGGCTCTTCCCAGAGACTCATGTCACACAGAGGAGGGGAAAAGGTGTCTATGTGAAAGGTATGTTTTTAGAAAGTTTATGGCCATATTTGAGCAACAAGGAGTAATCTAGGAAGTGAGACTTCAGAGGCACTCAAAATAAGAAAAGTTCAAAAAACTTTATTAAGAAGAATCTTATTGGAGTGGTCAGTCATCTCCAGATGTCTAGCTATCATTATTCCTTTTAGTATTTCTCCAAGACCTGGTATTAGGTCATTCATAGCAATTATTTGTTTTTTCATATGACTTATTAATTGTATGACATTCAGCAGTTCTCAACCTTTTTAGCACCAGGGACCAGTTTTGTGATTATTCAAGTGCATTACACTTGTGCACTTTATTTCTATTATTATTATTACATCAACTCCACCTCAGATCATCAGGCATTAGATCCTGGAGGCTAGAGACTCCTGCATTAGATGGTCCATGTGGTCCAGAATCTTGGGAAAACTGTTCACAACAGATTTCATTGCTTCATTATCCTGGCCTTTGTCTGATTAATTTTGCTTTCAGGTCTGTAGACTTGTTGTGACATCCAGGAAGGAGACAGTGCCTTCTTTAAATGAGAAACATGAATCCATGAGTCAATGTCCTTAGGTTTAGCAGCACAAATTTAGTTAACAATACTTGTAAAGGTCCCCTCCAACCAGGTTGGAGAACATCATTGCTAAGGTGTCATTTCCAGTAGATACAGTCACCAGTCTGTTTTTTCCTGAAGGAGTGGATCTCAGATTAAGCAAAACCAAAGTCAGTGCTTTGGACCACAGCAGCTTAAATGATTAATCATCATAAATGTGCTATGGTAGGTGGAGTGCAAAGACTAAAAACAAAACAAAAAACAAAAGATTAGTTTGCCAGGAAGCCAGGAAGTACTAAGCAGTTGTTTTGGTTTTCCTGTAGCCCCCACTGTTAATTTAATTTACCTCCAGTGTTTACCCATCTTAATTTCTCTGATTCAGGAGCAGTCTGTTGCCATGTTACAAGATATCAGGATAGGAAAAGACTGACAATGAGAGGTCAATTCTTCTGAAGAAGCCGAATGGATTTCATCCACAAATGCCACAATATTTACATATTCTGTTGCTGCTGCCTTTGCATGAAAGTCAGCTAGGACTTTCCCCTTATACTCAGTCCTTTTAGTGTGAGCCTCTATTTGATGACAGACAACATTTTATGTCAGGACATATCAGACTTCTAGGACTTTCACACAATTTCTTGAACACCTAAAACACATACCCACATAGACACAACATAAAGAAGGCTAAACATTACTTATTTGACAATTCTTCCCATACAATTTAAACATATCAAGTACATCTAATTAGTTTAATATGTCTTCCTTTACAATGAGAGAGAATAAATCTGAGACATCTGAAATGTCTCTTATCTCAAGTTAGTTCTAAGTCAAAAAGAATTCATTTGGAATTTGATTTGGGGAAGTTTGTCAAAAATATCCAAAAAGTTTTAAAATAGTCAAATAGGATCATACATCACTGTGAAACAATGCTTAGTTATTCATTTAGCCAAAATAGCCAAGACTTCACAGTCAAATATGGAAGGCTGGGCTTCTCAGAGGGCTCAGAGGTAAAGAGTCCACCTGCAATGTCAAAGAACACCTGGAACGCAGGAGACCTGAGTTGGATCCCTACATCTGGAAAATCCCCTGGAGAAGGAAATGACAACCCACTCCAGTATTCTTGCCGGGAGAATTCCATGGATAGTGGAACCTGGTAGGCCACAGTCCATGGGGTCGCAAAGAGTCAGACATGACTAAGCAACTGAACCACCACCACAGTTCTAAGCAAATCTTAGTTTTCAAGACGACTTGCATTACTTAAGTTATCATATGATAAAGACATGATTATTTTGATAAGACACAAGATCTCT